CGGTTTCGGCGCGCACATCAGTTAGCACATTGGTGAAATGTGTTAACACGGGTAAATATCAGATAAGTCGTCTGCTGGCTGATATCAAACATGATACAGGACCGTGTAAACGTTATCAAAGTGACGCTCGATAAAAGTGTTTTACATACGCCGTTTCTCATCGAGTCTCGTTGTAGACAACAGGTAAGTATCTTTGTCGCTTCGCCGCGGTGAGCTTGAAATATGTAAAATTATTCCTGGATATTCGCGGCGAGGCGTTTTCGAAGCATCGGGACGCCGCATTCCTTGAGTACTCACGGATATATCCTAGTTGCAAGCTCGTGAGCCAAACACACACACCCGTGCGACGCTGCAGGTGCGAGGAAGCCTCGTAGAGGAACATTATCATACTCGTGAATACAAAAGTCTCTTTTGTAAAAGCGCGAATACGGAACTGCCGTATGAAAAGCGGGTCGAGCGCCGACTACTTCGGAAGAACGTTGCAGAATCGCAAAGTGCGCGGAGATGCCTAATTTTCTGTGAAAAGTTCGAGACTCTTCACGTCTGCACACTGTGATTTAACAGCGAGAAATCCTTCTGTCACACGTTCTTCTTTTTACCCCAAAATATATTCCACGGGACGAACTATGTTTGTGCGCGTGCCAAACGTCACTTACGTAATAGTAGGGAGAAAATAAATATAACGACATTTCTCAGCAGTTTTCACAATGTAATACGCGACATGTGGCAACTTCACGGAAGCATCCATCAATCCCAGAAAGCCTTCCCCTGTCAAACAATAAGATCCCGATATCCTGCAAATCGATTTGGCGTCCCGTGACTTCGCTTTCAAATGTAGGAGGGCTGTGTATTCCACGTACTTATGAAACTACAAGCGATACACGCGTGCCTACACATGTCGGAAGTCGGTTCCCTTCGAATGCGAGCCGGCAAAGGTAGGTAGGTATGAGGAATGGCCGAATTATGCGACATATTGCACGGTTCGAATCCCCCCTCTCGAGAGCATAGTCGGATATTCGGGAAGGAAAAGTGGTGTTCATAAACAAGAGGAATTGTCTCGGCTGACTGCACGTTACTCTGTGCAAGCTACGAAGTAAGAGTAAACAGGTGAATAAGTTTCGTTGCAAACATGTGAAAAATTAATTATTCGATCTACTAGTGTACTCTCAGCCCGTATTATTACGTAATCAATTAATTATTGCTAATTGAGTTGTCGTTCTCTTCTCCTCTATATCTTGATAATTGTCTCACAAAAAAGCGCCAACGAAATCAAATTGCGGCTGTGTGATCGGATTTTGAGTGAGATCGATTGTGCTCCGCGCGTAAGCTGGAAATATGTTCGAATCAATCACAAAGCTAGTCGCGAGATTAAGCTTCACGGCGATCGCCCGCCTCCTTTATTGATCAGCGATGCTTTGGCGCTCACTGAAATTCGCGGCACGGCTTTTCGGGGCGAGCGATTGGAGATTAGGAGGCTAATGCGCGGATAGCTAACGGTGCGGAGAGCACCGAGGGATAAATCAGCAGTTTTAGGAGCTATTACTACTACAGTAAAGCAGGCATAGAGCCCGGTATAATCTCGGTGAGTCCAGATCTCGGTGTTAAAGAGAGAACCCGAATCGAAATGTTGCTTCCACATTAATCCTGCAAATTCCGAAGAGATGAGTGAAGAAACTCTATGCTATCATTTCACTTTGACTACATTAACAATTTAATATTTCTACGTAGTTGCAATTGAATAAGTTAAATAATTAATACCTTACTCGTTTAAGAAGTATTATCGAAAGCATCAATCTATCTACCGTTCCTTTCATTTTATCTATATTTGTAGGACATTCTATTATTAAATTTATAGTTTTTCCATCGATTGTGTCTCATTAACCACAATATTTACTTAAATCAAAATTCTTTTATTTCAATAGAATAATCAATTATTTTCAATTTAAAAGCTAAAGTGTTTTAAAAAATATATATTTCTCTTGATTTGAGATATTTAATATAAACATATTAAATATATTTTTCTTCAATGTAATATGTTAAGTTCTTTTATTAGTCCTTCATGTCTGATGGAATTCGTAGGGTCAATACGGATTCTACTATTCTACAAAATCCGTTGATCTACAGGAATAATTTCGATTAGGGGAAACTGGAAGAAAAGTCGTGAAATATGGAAACCATTAAAGCGTGTTTCGCGTCGGCGTTAACACTTAGCTTCACTTTGTCTAGATGACGGTGACGCTTTCCATCAACGTAACCAACCGCCTCGTCGCTTGTATTATAAATATCCCGCCCGCGTGCACAAAGCGACCACGATTGTATAAAGTGCACGCGATTATGGCATATCCGTGCTACGTGGACGAAATCGCGCGAATATCGCGAGCGAGATTTTCCGGAAAAATTTGATGGCGCAATATTGCCGCGGAAAGGGCAGTAAAAATAAATTGACGTCTGGAAAGAGGTTCGGGGCGGTTGAATACTGAGCTGCCGTCGCGAGCTTATTTCGCCCCGCTTCTCTGTACGTATCTGTACTCCCTCAATACTTCTTTCTCCCTTTCTCAGTACATCAGTGGAGGGTGAATCGAGTGGCGCAGCAAAAAATTATATTAAACAGTCCTCTCTCAGATCTTTGCGTGATTTGCTATCATACATTCTCTGTTAAGGGGATATTTTAATTTAAAAGGTCCCAAAAAAGAGAATTTTTTGGAATTTTTTGTAGGAAGATAAAAATCGAATATTATATTCTGTGTGTTCTTTTTTAAAAATATATCTTTTGTCTAAATGATAAAAATGCTCTTCTTTTGTATGTGATTTCTGGTTTCACTAGGAGCTCACATAAAAAAACGCATACGAACAATGTAAGTGATTATGACTCTCCTAGATATTTAAAATGCAAAACCAAAAAATCTTCCTATTCAAAAAAAGTTTGAATTCAAGAGAAGCAGTTATTATTTGACCTAGAACTAAACCAACATTATCATTTGTATAAAATGGTGGTATATTTATTTTTATATTTATTTTTATATTTATTTTTTATTAGAAAATTTTAATTTTTCCTCAAAGTGTTGTATATGTTTTATTAAAAAAGAAATAAATTAATAAATATATAATGTTTGTTCCAGGAGAGCCAGAATCACTTACGCCCGTATACGTTTTTATTTGCGAATTCCTAGTTATCAGGACAAAAGAAGAGTGTTTTCGTCACTTAGACAATAAAAATATATTTTTTAAATAAGACTTGAAAAACATATAAAGTTTAATGTTATTCGATTTTTTCATTTTCCTACAAAAAAATTACAAAAAAGTACCTTCTCCTGCGATAGAAGACAGATGAATTTATAAAAGAAAAAGATAAAAAAAGATATTGTCACCTCAATTAACTGATTCTACCTTCTCCTTTCAAAACACTCTTCGAGAGGAGATTATACAGATTATACTCGAAGAATTCGTAAAGCATGGTGCGTGAGTCAAAATCGTAGCGAAATGCTGAACGTCGTATTCAATTTGATTCCTCGTTGTGCCATCAGCGTCGGCTCGACGCGTGTTCCCATCGCTCGGATTTACATAAGTGACTTATGGTCAGCGAGCACTACCCCCATGATGGGCAGGGTCGCTCGGCTATCTTTGATGCGACATTCGCACGGGGATTCAAATGAGGGACGGTCGTTATGAGAACCCGTGTGGAATATCATACGAAAGTATCCAGTTTCGTCATTCGCGCAGATATTCGCGGACGCACACGTTTGTGAGAAAGCGAGTGATGCCAGTTCCCTCGGGGGTGTTCTTCTCTCCTCTTCTCCTCTCAACGACTCCTGACGCTTCGATTTTTAGGCGACGATCGATCGAATTAATTGCTATCCTTCTTTTCTCATATTAATGTCGTTTCGTGATTCCAACTAACAAGGCGTGATTCAATTGGAAACGCAACAATTGAAAATTCATTAGCAGCGTCATTGTAACGGAATACACATCCCCACGGGCGATAATAATCGACTGTCGATGTTACGCGACCGTTCGATTAATTAACTCGACAATATTTCCCTAATAGGACGGTTTGCGGCTCTCGATTAGCTGGCGAAGTTGTGTTCATTAAATGCAGAAAATCCATTTCCGGCCCCGTACCGATTTCTCCTCGTTGCGAAGGGAGAGATTCACCCCTTTGCCAGGTGCGCTTGTCCGATTTCATCCTGCATGTTTTGCAAATTATATTAATTCCGCGTTACAGATAACGCTTTTAGGCTCAACATGTTCAAGATAAAATAACGCGGCGTCGGCGAAATTTTTGCAACAATGCATGGTGCGCGACGTTCGCGATCGTAGATTTCATTTCAAGATTATGAATCCCCTATCAGTCGCCACGGCGAGTGCAACCGGACATGTAATGCGCGCGCGTGCGCGAATGCTGCGTATGTGATACGCTCAAAATTCACGCACGAACGCTGCCGATTTTTCACGTTTAATTAGCCGTCACCGCATAACGACTACATCAGCCAGCTTGATACGGGGAGATCTATCGTGCGTTATGACTCGTCTGACAGCGACAGGGAGGCGCGATTTCTTCATACATATACACGGTGTCTCCGATTTCCACTTCGTTTCATTTCACCCATGGATTCTTGGAGCGATTTAAAAGCGACTTTTCTATCGGCAAACCGTGCGCGTCTAGTGATATCATCGCGGTTCACCTTTCCCTAACGATAACGGCGTCTTCGTGTGTCTGAGAGAAAAAATCGCTCCCAATTTGTCAGGAGAATCCGCACACTGAAGCAACCGGCTCGGGATCTACGCGCGACACTCTATACATCGCACGAAGCGTATGAATAATCGTTAATTAATTCCAGGCACGACACGAGCAAAACGAGTCGCCGCCGGCGAGAAAGCACAGCGCGCCTTATATTTCCAATTTTTCACGCGCATATGTACGAGCATAATAAATACCGGGCGCGGCGGTTACCTCCGGGTGACGCGAAGTGCATGGCAAACGCGGGAGCAGAGGCGTTCCTTTTATTTCCGCGGCGAACGCCGGAGTCCCTTCGCGGGGCAAGCGTTTCATCCGCCGCGGCAAAACGTGGAAACGGTTCTCTATCACGAGTCAGAAACATTTTATCAGATAAAGTCACGCTATCGGTCTCGGCAGATAAGGGAACGGTGACAGCGCGACGATGACACACGACGCCCGTGCTTTCGGAAGAGTACGTGTCGCTCCGGCCATTTCTCTCCTTTCGCTCCCCATCGGCTGTGTAATTTTTATCTCCATCACCGTCTCGAGTGGAAGGTAGCTAAAGTGAGTAGAAAAATGTTGTCGTTATTGATTATTGCAAAATACCACGCACAGTCCAAAGGAAACTCGCATGGATCACGTGGTGAACGTTATTTCGACATATATTGCGAAATCGGTTGTTGTTACATGTTGTGTTGTTACGTGTGAATAGCTTAGAACACTATCGACGAACTCAGCAATTTATAAAGTTCTCTTTGAATGCAAACGCAATTTGAAATGGATTTGTATTAAATCGCTCGTTGTTTGCGCCATACCTCGTTTATTTGAACCGCGCGTCATTTAGATACGGTTTTGTTGATTACGTGTGTGTGTGCGCGCGCACACGCTTGAACACATCGGCGTTGTGAAATATGAAATGCCGTTTTCGTAACTGTTATTATCGGGTACAAAATTCAAGACTTGAACGCGATATCGCGGCGCACTTGACCAAACAATCGCGAATTCGTATCTGAACGCGCGCGAGCACACTCACGTTCTCATTTGTCCTAATCCTATTTGCACTTTAGCCACAAGCCCGCTTCGCTTCTCTCTCTCTCTCTCTCTCTCTCTCTCTCTCTCTCTCTCTCTCTCTCCTAAGTCTCCCCCATTATTTTATATTGAATTGCACATAAATCTTCATAGCAAAGGAACAAGCTCGCGCACGCTCCATGTACGCGAGTCGGCGAAGAAGAGAAATAGAAAGGTGGAAAAAGAGAGAGAGAGAGAAAGAGATAGCGTACATGTAATTTCTCTTCATCTTCTCGCGGTGCCGGAGAGCGAGGAGACTCTTCTTTCGGTACTCCACTCGAGTAGATCCGTCTCAATCACGACCTCGCGGAAACAGTAAAGAGGACAGCCCCGAACCGTAGCACTAAATAACCGTTCTCGCCGATAGGTCATGGACACGCTGTACCCGAATCTCCACGAGCGCTTCAAGACTGAGGGTCTCTGCGCTATCTGCCTCATGGAGACGGAGCTGACGCCCAGGTACTCGTGTGTTAACGGCCACACCATGTGCCACCGTTGCAAGCCTTACTACTACGCCTGTCCCACGTGTCGGATGCCGTTGAATGTGGAAATACTGCCGCCGCAGGTGGACGCGCCCCCGCCGACGCATTTGATGTCGCACCCGATGCCGCCGCAACCCATGCCGCGCCATCGTGTCGACTACAGTCCCAGCGCACCGTCCCTAACGGGCAACTTTCTGGAGCACGAGAGAACAACTTGGCAGCCACCGACACCGTCAGAGGACCAGCGGCTCAGGTCGTGCTCGTATTCTCATCTGGGATGCTGGGTGAAGGTGCCTGAGCACCTGCAGGTTCTTCACGAGTCGAGGTAAGAGCGTCGTTTGTTTCACTGTTGTTTTATACGGAAAATTGTGTGATGTATCGATAGAATTGGTCAACAGTAGAGTAGAGTAATATTGCGTTAGACGAGCATCGAGCGTCGAATGATGATAGGGTAGGCGGAAATGACGCGCGATGAGCCCTGACTAGCGCGGTTCAGCCATCGCTTCTACAGCAACTCCACGCGCAATATCAAGTGCGATAATTCACCAGTCTTCTTTAATTGATAACTAAAATCTTTACGTGGTTATTTGTAAAATGGTAAAGGAATTTTTTGTTCAGTTCGGTCTAATCTACACATACACGAAATGAGTATATGTAATCATCAAACCCCCTGTATAAATGATTTCATAGTTTCTAGCGTTTTTGAGGTTTTTGAAGATTATTTTTTTTACAGTTTTAACGGTTAATTTCTTTAATGTGAACGAATGTTAGTTTCAATAATGTTGCTATTGAGTCAAAAGGATTCACTTCAATTACAGCTACTGACCAATTCTGTGGATTCAACAGCATTTTGTTCCCGCGTACATCTTCATCTGTCGAAAACATCTTTGTCCGCGAGTTATTTGGCAATGTTAGTATTTTAATTGTAACGTTAGATGTCAATTTCGGCCGCATCTGGAGGAAGAACATCTACCGACGGACCTTCCGCACCTTCACGACGATTTGGTCGAGTGCCCATACTCAGTGGCGGGATGTAAGGTCCGCACAGTGCCATGGAGACGTGACATTCACGAAAACTTTTGCATCTACAAGGACAAGTTCCACGGCGTAGACGACATCAGCGAGGGTCTGGCGTGCGCGACGTTCGTCGATAGCGATTACGACGGCGATCCCGAGCAATTGGTGGAGTGCAAGTTTCGGCGTTACGGTTGCATGGTGAGAATGCCGAGGAGGCGTAAACCCATGCATGAACAGAAATGTAACTACAGAAGCTATCACACAGACGACGAGTCCGATTGCATCTGGGTGCCGTCGGAATTGGATCCTGAGGAGCAAGTGGAATGCAGATGGTCCGCGAACGGCTGCCAGGTGAGACCGAAACGTTGTCGCAAGCAGATACACGAGGACAAGTGCAATTACAGGATGGAAGAGTGTGCCTACAAGGATTACGGCTGTGACGCCATGTTTATACCGGCCAGAAAATACGCTCACGAGAGAACCTGCTCATACGCCAATTGAGTTCATGATAATTGAGCGAGATAATTACTCTCACACTGGGATACATGCATATCACGGACGTGCAATAGAAAATAAAATACTTTCCTTCATGGATAAAAAAATTTAGTGGAGTCAACCAAATTTCTGATGAAATACGAACAAATCTGAAATTTCAGTGGAAGCAGCTAGAATTCTATTAACGTTAACAAAATTTTTGATTGATTTTAACATAATTCTAATAACTTCAATCGAAATTTTCTGGTACATACCTTACAGAAAATTTGGTTAAGATAGTTTAAGTTAAGTTGGGTTGGGTTAAGATAAATTTAAGAAAATTTTTTTAAGAAAATTTGGTTGTACCAACCAAACGGTTTTCCCGTGTTATTTAATTGTCTAGTTGGTAGGAAGTACGAAGGAAAAGAAACGATCACATGATCAATGGGTCTTCTCTTTCTTTCGCTATGTTTCACTCTCGGTTTTGTTTCTCTTACATCGTCTCCTCCTAAAGAACTGTGTGACAGAAAAGGCATTCATCTTGGCCATAGATATAGTAAGGACTGAGTCTACTTAACAGCGAAGATCAGATAGAAAAGAACAGAAAATCTGGACATGAAGACACGTGGAAGAGCCACTCTGACAGGTGCGAAAAGACCAATCCACGTGCCTAATCGTTACGTTACACAGCACGCTGTCTGTACGAATCTACGTACTCTCTGTCGCGACTTAGACTGTCGTTGTCAATAAATCGAACGAGTCCAGTGATCCCGTAAAATCCGTGCCAAACTGCGGGCCGGGCCAAACACATCGCGATAACGACAATTAACAACAACAAAGCGGATCTTCACCGTCGAGGTGGGACGAAAGCCATTAACAGCGATTTCCAAGAACGCGGGATAATGCGGAAGAGGATTATTTGCTCTCTCTCTCTCTCTCTCTCTCTCTCTCGCTACTCTCGATCCCATTCCGGCGCGAGATAGTGAAACTTGCGCCTGTCGTTCGGGGGATCATCTTGGGCATGATCGCCGGGAATGAGGGAGTGATGGCGTGGCTGGGATATCCAACACCTGCAGGCTAATGGTGGACCTCCCTGTGCGCGCCCACGATCTCGCCGTCGCTCGACAAAACGACACCCACACGCGCTTATAGCGCCCATTTGTAACGTCGGCGCGTGCAAGGGGCGGCAGTGGAATCCATTTCGATGCGCGATTACAGACGGTGGATACTGGCAGCTTGAGGTGTTAGTCTCAAAGTCAATAAAACATGGTTTCGAGCGATATCCAGCGCGAATTATGCAATTTTATATCTTATCTCATTCGTCAAGGTTCTCCCCCAATCTCTCGCCGCGGAACTCTTAATTAGTGACGTCAGAGGCGAGATGTACGATAAAAATGCTTGCAAAATACGTTGAAGTAAAAAGATATGCATAAAAATGACGCGTTCGATCGGGTACAGTTGTAAAACAAACGACACGTTTTCCTTTTGTTCCAACAATCAATGAATTAGCGTGATACGCAACCTTTTTTCTATCTTTTCTCGTGATTTCGTCACGTTAATTTTACAATTATTTATTGATTGTTAGAACAAAAGTGTTCTAACAATCAATTATTTTGCACATCTGCTCGATCAATTACAAGTAACACCTTGTGGATACATTTTTTATTTCTACGTATATTGCCAGAATTTTTAGCGTGCATTTTCTCGCTTCTAACGTCACAAATTACCGCGGCAGGGAAATAGCAATCTTAATTGTCAGTGAAGCAAATCGCGTCATTCGCATTAACGGAAATAGGATGGTAAATTATTATTGGGTTTTGAAAAACGCTTTTATCTAATTACAAAAATTATAAAATAGTTTTTTGTCGTGATACTATCATTGTTGCGACACATGTAGTAAATAATTGTCAGCAGGAGACACGTTTACTTCCAATACGATGTATAATACAATCAGTAAAAGTTCAACGTCTGCAAACAAAAGGTGCAAACAAAACTTGGGATCTATTTTTTGTGCCATGGAAATCTCAGTAAGTCCCACGGGGTTGAAGGCGTATACACCTTCGTCCCTACTAGATAAATATCGAATGGACTGTAGCGCGAAAAACTCTTGTCCGTCCGCGACGTAAGCGTTCCATCATCTCGGCAGGTCAGAACTTTAACGTTTGGAGGTGACCTCTGACTGATGGACAAAGGGGTGCAGGAACTGTTTTACATAGTAAATATCAAGAAGGACCTCAGCCTTTGACCAATGCATGCCTTAAAGAGGATGCCGCATCATGTCGAAATTCAAAGTCGTACAAAGGGAAGAAAGAGAAGAGAGAGAAAAGCATCAGTAGAGAGAAAAAGAGAGAGAGAAGCATCGGTAAATTGTGTCCGGATCAGGAAACAATCGATGTGACTCTTATTCAAGGCAATATCACCCCTCGGTGTCTACCCTTTACCTTCTCTAATTGCGTTTCAGACCATTCGCTGATTTTTAATTAAACCGATTCACAAAAAGATTGCGTGGCTTAAAGAAGATATTTCATGCCGTCACTTTCATTTCAAACATCTACTGTTATTTAAATACTTGATTGATGCGCATAAATTTATAAATCATGCAGTTACGTATCATAACAAATATATCCCTTCCCACTAGAAAATGGTAATTCATATTTGATGTCATGTGTATATAAGTACGGACGTATGTATGTATTCATGGGAAATTTGAAAATTACATCAAACGAAAAGTTCTCGAAAGTCAAAGTTGTAACGTAATAAGCTGTGGAAGACAGATAGTTTGATTTTTAAAGGTGTTTCGCTGTTTCAGCATGCGAAATGGATTAAGTTCTTGTTATGGTGAAACTACCATAAAAGATCGAGCGATCTTTATGCACTGAATTATATTTTTTCTCGAAGTAATCCTGACATCGTAGAAAATGTTTCAAATATTACTGTATAGAATTACTAGCTGAATAACGCGCATGTAGTGTTGTTCTAGTTATGCAAAATTGAGATATAATTTATTTCCCAACGTGACACGAGCGCACAACCTCATATCTCTTCCAAATTGCAATATAACAGAATCGAAAAAGTACGTTAAGCTTCATGAATAACGAAAAAGTGATTTTTGCTTCTTTTTTCTTTTAACAAATTGCAAAAGTGCGACACCACATTAATATACAAATGTGTCATTTCCATGTAAAACAGCGGGGCGGAAGGAAAAGTTGACGACGGACAAGAGGCGATTATCGGACGAAAGTTAATGGCTTTTTTTCATTAAATTTTCTCCGCATAAATTAATAAGTCGATCAGAGATGATGAAAGATAAGAAGGCGCTCGTCATTTTTAAGAAGCTCGTTGATAAGCAGAATATAGACGCGGACACAACGAGGCTACAACCCGCTGATGGTGGGGTTGAGCAAAGGGACGGAAAGAGGAGATGCGAGTAAATTGCACCCCTGGGGACAAGCCTGACGAGTGGCGCGAAGGACGCAACAAGCCAGAAGTCAGCCAACTTTAATTAAGACAGCGTTGCAGACTAGATGTAGACACGGAGTTTCTATATAAGAAACTCGAACTCTTGTGAAATTTCTTTGTTACTTGTGAATAGCAGGATACGTTAAAAACAATGAGGGAGAAAGAGGAAAATGTAAAGCGTTATTGTGCCAAAATCTTTATGATGTATTACTGATGATCTTTATGATGAATTTACTGATGTACCTACCGCTTACAAAAACGTCGATCTCTTCTTAGAAAAATATGGAAAATACAGAAGAAAATATCGGTGATCTGACCTCTGTCGTTTCTTTTGTATATACTCTTTAATTAAAAATACTCTTTAATTAAAAATCTAATGAGGCATTTGAAATTTAATGAAGATTGCAGTTTTGTTATTTATTTGCCCTGATTAAAATTTCCCTTTGAAACTTCTCGATTATTTCTCGATTATTTCTCTAATTTCTTTTAATTGTTTATACTTTGAGGACTAGTTTCTGCTAAGAAAAATTAGCTTCGAATTGATGAAAGAAGAATTTATAGTTAAGAGGTGATATCCAAGGGTTAAGACGACATCAATCTGACAGTCTTGCGACTAGAGGCGTCTTGATCTAGCGCTTCCACGGTTGTTGATCAACGATGTCCAACACGTGTGCTCGTAAAACATACACACCCGATAGCAGAAGGTTTAGGAGCTTGTGTTCCCACGTAAATACCTCAAAAATAGCACCGTTCGCATCTCTTGACAGCCGCTGTATCGTGCTGTACACGCGAGCTCCATAATTCACGTTAACGTTACTTGCCGGCCGCAAGGGAAAGAAGACCGACCGGCCGATCGTATCTCAATTTCGTCACGATATAACTACCGGGACATCGATGTAACGAACAAATCCGTGTAACCGTTTCCGATCGGAACATCTGATCGCGCGGCACGTACGCGATTATTATCGTCGGATGGGACGCGATCACCGCCGGGAGTAAGCTTGCGGAAGAGATAAAGATTTACGGCGAGTAAACATCCGTCATCGGATCGAGTGAGAAATCCGGTGCTGATCGCAGAACGCTGCTATCGTATCCGGGGGATGATCTTTATATAATTAGCAAGGATATTGTTTATATTTCGCACGCGGCTAGTATACTAGACACAACATGTTGCACGTTTTTGCAAAATTATGAAATGGAGGTAATCCAGGAATGGAAACAGTCCAGAAATGAGGGCAGTGAAGGTGATTGGAGATTGGAGATAGAGATTATAGAGATGGAGAATGAGCAAGAAAGAGAGAGAGAGATATTAGAGTTTCGTTGTGTTTTTTGGTCTTATAGTTGTTAATATTATAGTTAATATTTATTGCGCACACACACACACTAAATGGAACGCCTCTATTTTACTTCTAATTATCGTAAAAATTACGTTAAAATTATATTTATTTTTTATAAAGCTGGACTATATACTGGAATTAGTATAATTATATTAATAATAGTATAATTATTATAAAAATAATAAATTTGATAATCTATTTGATATATATTTAACCTGATATATAATTATATAATAATATAAAAAACATCCAAGCAATTACAATAATTTTGTAAAAACTGCATAAAATGTTTAAACAAACATATCGTAGTTTTACTTATAACTCTATGCGGTCGAATATTATAAAATGTTATTGTAAGTTTTATATATTCTCCATGCACATTATGATCTAATCATTCTTATCGAAATTAATACAAGTCAACGTCGTATCAACAATTTCTCAGTGACGCGATCATAAAAAGAGAGAGTCTCCGAAAATATTCTACGACTGGTAATTAGTACTACAATCTTGTTGCAACGCACGTTCTTGCAATAAATGATTTCTACGTTCCGTGGTCGGGACGACAAACTTCTCCCTGTACCAGATTAAAATTCTTAATACAACCCTTTCAGACTGCGAGGGGGTAGGAGAATGAATGAGGGAGTGCATTCACGAACGGTGGAAGAAGCGGCCGAAGAAGAGGTGCGTCTCGAGGAAAAAGCGAATTTAATGAAACGAGAAAAACCCCGGTGACGGTGTATTTGTAATGCAAATACCGGACCGACGCGCTCCCGAAGGGACGAAAAATGAAAGGCTCGAAACAGGCGGGAACGAAATCGAGCGTCCCATCGCTCTCGCTAATCCGATTCCGAATTCTTCGCCGTCCGTCCGCCCGTTCACTCGCTCATGGAATCACGTTCCCGACGCTGTAAACTTGGCAAAAAAACGAAGAAAATCCCAATTTCCCCTTTCTTAATTACCTCGGGGACTCGGGCGATTCGCGGAAACCACGATACGTCTCGAATGCTTATTACCCGAAAACCTCGGCTCGGTCTGACATTGTCAACAAACAAATTCGCTCATGTTCGTTCAAACTCCTTTGATACGTTGAATATCACCGTGTTTCCAACATGGGGTGTGGCACTCATCATACGAGGAAATGCGGCAAAGAGGAGTACCAACGTCGAGAGGATTGAAGGAATCATTATTTACCGAAAGTCGACTATTGTCCTCTTCGATGGGCGCATTGTCGAATTAAAGGCTTTTGTGACGGAGAATGCCAGGGGCTAGCAAAGCGCTTGTCTTCGTCTCCGTTCATCTAATGCTTCGCTCACTTCTCCCTCTCTCTCTCTTTCTCTCTGTCTCTCTCTCTCTTTCTCTCTCTCTCTGGCGGTTCGGTGTGTCCCCCTAGCCAATCGCGCCGACAGTCGCAAATGAAAGCACTTTTCCGCCGAATAGACAAAATAAATCGAGTCGCGCATGACAATGCCGATAATTTCGCAACAATACGCGCTCGCTCGGTGTACGCACGAATAAATACGCGCTCGCAGGAAACGCGCGTGAAAAACGGACGGACGAGTTCGGTAGGGTTGCGTTTCTGTCGCGTGTCTTCTCCAAACAACGTGGCGATTGTGCGAGAATGAAGAGATAATAAAACGTAGCAAAACATTTATCGCGCTGATGATTAGTTCATTTTCTTATAAGGGGAACAACTCACATACACACACAACTGCTGCTATAGTTATTCAAGTAATATAAAAGATTCTGGAATACGGGATATATCGCTATTAAGACGATGTCACAAATAAATAATAAATAATTAAAAAAGGAAGAGTCTGAAAGCAAGAAACCCGAATAGCAATAAAAGGTACAAGATGCAAAGAACCTTTACATCAATTCAAGTGTTTGTTCAAAAGAACAAAAAGAAAAGCGCTAGCCCCGAACAGAAGGGGCAATGCAACGCAATGATTTATCGGTGATAATTAAAGGGTCGAACGTCACCGCCGGCTGTGTATCGATGACCAACGGCCGGTGCGTGAGACTCGTATTAATAGGCTGTTTTAATATCCACCGCGAACACCACCCATCAATTCTGATCCTAAAGGATCCGTCGAACAAACGCGCGAAAATTTATCAACGATATTATGCAAACAAATCGCGAAATGCGCAACGTATGCGGAATCCGATTAACAGAGGGAAGAGAGGTGGAGGGAGATAGAGAGGGCAGACATGGATTTATGGATGCACCGGGCCTTTTTATTGTCTTCTCTGGCCGTACACCGAAGCACTCTGGCGTCGCGGTAAATTTCAGCCGTAATTGGCAATCCTCTCTGGCAAAGGAAAAAATTGCGAAGATGGAAACTGCTATTTACCAGTTGAGTTTCAGCGATGCGCGTGTAACGTTTCGTCGTGAGTCACCTCCTCCTCGAGAGTGGAAACACTCGGAATCCATCTCGTCGCAAACGGACAAGCATGTCGAAACCCCACCTCCCTTCCTCCCTCGCGACTTTGCTCTCGAGTTTGCGGAAATATCGAGAAAAGTTAGATAGGATATGGTTACGATGATGTAGAAAAAGGGGGACTTTTTAATGGCGCACGCAGGTGTCGGAATCCCTATCGACGTTAAGCTGTACTTAATGCTTCATCTCTCAGCGCGCCACTCCCTGTGGAACACACAACCTTCCTTATTTTCCCCGGTGCAAGTACTCATCCTCACGGCCGCAATCTCCTTTCCTTAATTGCTACGAAGAGAACGTGGTAATAAAGGAAGGAAGAAAAACGGTCGCCCTCGACGTAATACACCTGAAAAGACTACTTACGTGACTTCAAGTCGCTTGCTCGCTTTACCCCATTTACGACGATCGGATAGAAGCTAAATTGCTCCGCTGTTTCTTTGACCGGCCTCTTCGTAAATAAGATTGACACGAAACGCTGTTGTAATTATCTCTTTTTTGTTTTACAAACAACCTATTCTGATATCTTTTTCATTGCGATGACTTTCGAACTAACTCGCTTTCGCCAGGTCATTGTGAGCGTCCAACGCGCGCGTTCAACACTCTCGCGAGAGTGATCACGCGATACTGCTCCCATCCAAGCCATCTTTATCGCGCGCCAACCTAACGAATCATCTCAGGCGAGGTCGAGCTCCTCGAGATCTCCTTTACTACCCTCGAAATCCCCGGGAGCCACTACCGCCGGCGGTAAAATCCAGCGCCTCGATATCCACTTCTGAACTGCAGGAAAAATGGGAAGCGTGAGGTGCGTGGCCGCGCAACATCGGGAGATAATATACGAGCGTAGCGCGAGTCTGCGCGCAAAACTTGATGTAGAGACCTCTCTTGAAAAGTGGCTGTCCTTGCTGGTACCACCAGCAGTTTCTGTCATGATTTACAGGTAAGGGCGACGTCGGGCATCCCGACGGTTCTCAGTGCGGTTCTCGTCGGGGATTGCCTATCGTGCGGAGAAACGATGTCGGGCGTATACTACCAAGCACCCTTAACCGTTTTCGAGCATTCTCTAGTGTTTACGCGAAAGCTTCGCTCGCGAGTACACGGTACGATTGCGCTCCGTGAGGGGTAATGAGAGATCGATCCGTTTTGTCGATGGATAAGATGTTTCTTCTGTAAACGCGATTATACGTGGCAACTGAAATACAGAATGAGGTAATAATTATTATTACCTTGGGTATCTTCGAAACAAGAGACAAGATTGGTCTTCAGATCAACTAAATCATAAAAACATATTTGGTTGGATTGACTACATTTGTGATGAAATATAAACGAATCAGAAATTCTGGTTGAATTTACCAAAATTCTATTCAAATAAGATTTCTAGTCAATTTAAACAGAATTCTGGTAATTTCCACCGGAAATTCTAACTCGTTCATACTTCCCCAGAGAGATTTGGTTACTTCAACAAATGTTTTCTTTTTTTCGTGAAAGATAAAACACAATTATTAATATTTGTCTTAGTCATTGATATTTTTGAATCTGTTTTTTCTTGCGACCAGCATTGCACTTAAACTTCTTGTCTGCATTCTATGACTCCAAAAGACAATCTTTTAATTGGCTTCACGACTAAAACT